TAGAGATGTGCCACGTGGATGAAATGTAGCTGAGGTATTGGCTGAGGTGCCACGTGAGCGAACCAGATTGCCAAGATGGTTACGGTATTGTCGAGATCTGGTGCGATAATACCAGAATCTGAGATAGTTGGATAGAGGACAAGAGTCATAGATAAGTGATGCGCTTAGTTTGGATAATAATGAGGTTGTTGAGTAGTTTATCCATATCTAAGTAAAAGTACGAGATAAGTATCATGCTTGAGTCTTATGAAGTGAGACTTTTAAGGGACAAAGGCACTATTGGCTATAAAACTAAGGCTCTCTCATGGATCTAAGGTATGGTTTTATTTGTGCACTGGTTACTTGAGTTGAGATCTTGTGAGATTGTTGACTGACTTGATCGTCCAAGTGTCCCCAGGTGAACGAGTCACCGTAGTATTTTCATTTTCTTGTGTACAGGTGCTTGGTTTAATATATTCTGTCGCGTGCTCTCCAGTTAAGTTCCTTATTTGGTTGTGAGGTCAAAAATTAACACCCACATATATATTTGAAATCGCTGTTGCAACTGCCATTGGGGAGGTCAGTGACTTGTATTATTGCAAATGGGGTTTTGAATTTCAACCTTGAAATCGCTGGAGAAGTTGGAATTCCTCTCATCTATTTTGATACTATTAGCCCTTGCAGTCTCTAGACTTACTTTTGTCCCAAAACTCATCGATGCTAGTGAGCTTCCTTTCGAAGGTAGGTTATAGAATTTTTGACTTTAAATTGTTTGGTCACTAAGAAAAATGAATGTTATATAGTTCAAAAATTTTATACAATATTTACATGGTGCCTACTTAAATAATATTGTGTAAAATTTTTAATAATTTTTTTTCGAGTCCTAATATTGCTCCTGAGAAAATAATGGGAGTGTTCTTGTATTGTTTAACTTTCATACATAAATTCTTTCTAGAAATGTAAAATTTCTAACTCAACATGAGTGATGATACACATTGATAATTATAGGAATTTTGAAAATAGTCCAGCTTGTCTCTAGTTGGAGATCAAGACCAGACAATCCAGTCTGGCCCATGGGCCCATTTTTGGATCTCGTTTTGATAATTTGAACCGTGCATTGTATAGAACTTGTCAAGTACTATAACCTTGTAAAAAAATCACGTTGATCGGATATCGATAGCTATTTGATTAGATCAGTTTTGTATAAAAAAATGAATGGTAAAAAAATAAATGATTGATAGAAATCTGATCTAATCAAATAGCTATCGATATCTGATCAACGTGATTTTTTATTCGAATATAGTACTGGACAAGTTCTATATATTGAACGGTTCGGATTATTGAAAAGGGGCCCAAAAATAGGCCCACGGGCTCAACTAGATGGTCTAGCCTTGATCTCCAATTGGAGACAAGCTGGACCCTTTTGAAAATCTCTCTATTTCTACAAAAATTGAAGTAGGCAACCCCTAATTTGAGCTGCCTATACTGATTGAGTTTCTTGATTTTTTATAGATTCAAAATTTTATTGTTTTTATTTATAACTTCCACTTGTCAGTGGCCAAATAGCAATGTTGTCGCTTATATATGATTTGTGTTGGTAATTTAGTTTTTATCTTGATGCTTGTAATATGAAATGTAGATTAAAATACACAAGATGCTTTATAGTTGAGATTTCGAACAAGAAAGAAAGAGGAAGCAGGTCTTTTGATCTGGTGGTGGTGGTGGTGGTGGTGGTATGATGATCAAAATCAAATAGATAATTTTTTTTTTTTTTGTGTTGAACAGATAAGGATGAGAAATATTTGTGTATGTATGTACGCATATCTTGAGTGTATGTATATTTGTGAGTGTGTATATGTATGAGGCAGATCTGGAAAAAAAAATTGATAAAATTTAGACAGATCTGAAAAAAATTGAACAGATAATAAAATAATCTGGCAGATAATTTCAACAGATAGGAATTGCAATTGATCTGGATAGATAGAATTTAGGGGAAAAAATTGAACAAATAGATAAATAGAGAGAAAAATTGATTAGATAGTCAAAAAAATTAAACAAATCGATATAAATTTGAATAAATAGATGGAATTTAGGGGAAAAAATTGAATAGATAGAGAAAAAAGTTAAATAGAAAGTCAAAAAAATTGAATAGATAGATACAAATTTGAACAGATAGACAAAATATTTGAAACGACAAAAAACATTTGAACAGATAGATATAAATTGGGTAAATTACACTTTGCACCTACACTTTGCATCAAATTTTACTTTGGTTCCTACACATGAAATTATGACGGTTAACCCCTACACTTTTGGTCAAATCCTACTTTAATCCCTACACATAAAATCGTGATAGTCAACCCCATGCACTTTTGATCAAGTGTGAATTTTCCCCTTCTATTACTTCATTGTTTAAGTATTTAAAACAATCTAGTCATGTGACAAGTATGTGATTACAAAATAATGGCAAGAGAGGAAAAAATCATCGTCATTTCCCACTAATATACACTTTGTCCCACGTGACAAACATATGAGAGTTATATAATACTATATATATATATATATACACACACATATATGTTCATATGCTAAAAATTGGGACAAAGAGACAAGAAAATAGAGTTTTTGAAATTAAAAATAAAAAAACTAAAAAATCTAAGAGAAATTGAGAGGAATAGGCAAAAGACTATATTACTGTGAAAAATAGAGTTTCAAGATTCTAATTTTTACAAAACCATAATTCATCTCATTAATTGTTCACAATTTGTGTTTTGTTTTAATCGAATACAATCAAAATTTGATGTAAATTTTGAAACAAAATGTGTATAGACGAAAAATTAGGGTGATTTTCCCTCTTTTGAAATCATTTTTTAGTCATATGTCTATCACATTATTAACTTCTATTAAAGACTTATACGTGGAGTAACAAAAGGGACATTAACACTTGACCAGAAATGCAGGTGTTGATTGTCACGATTTCATGTATAGGGATTAAAGTGAGATTTAATCAGAAGCGCAGGCGGTTGACTGCTACGATTTCATGTTTAGGGACCAAAATGAGATTTAGTGCAAAGTGCAAGAGTGCGAAGTGTGACTACCCTGTCATATATAATATTTTATATTTAATTAATCAAGGTGATTTGGATTTTAATTAATTATTATTTTAATTTAATTGTGGAATTGATGAACAATATTGGTATTAATTTGTATGTAATTTTATAAAAGAGCTATTTTCGAATTAGAAATTAAAAGTTTAAGTGGCTCAAGAAGGTGAAATTGACGAATTGAATTATTTTAATTTTGAGTATTGGACCATATTAGAGTTTAATTAAATATCCGATTCAGTTTAGTAAAATTGAGATTTTATTAATTGGGTCCAAATTGGAATTGATTAAGTCATGAGGATTGAGAATTGTGGTTATTATGAAATAAATTTAATTATGAGGTGTCCAATTTGAATATGTAATTTATTGACGGAAATTTTGAGTCTGATCAGAAATTAAAGGCCTAAATGATTTGGAAAATCAAAATTGATCATGACAATAAGCCTAATTTAATATTTGGAGCCTTTTGAGAGTTTGATTAAAAATCTGATTCAGATTGGTAAAAATTAAATATAATTAATTGGGCCTTAATTAAAGTTAATTTGGCTAATTAAATTATGTGAGATTTGAAATTAGTTATAATTCATTAAATTATGAAAAAAACTAAAAAATCTAAGACAAATTGAGAGGAATAGGCAAAAGACTATATTACTGTGAAAAATAGAGTTTCAAGATTCTAATTTTTACAAAACCATAATTCATCTCATTAATTGTTCACAATTTGTGTTTTGTTTTAATCGAATACAATCAAAATTTGATGTAAATTTTGAAACAAAATGTGTATAGGCAAAAAATTAGGGTGATTTTTCCTCTTTTGAAATCATTTTGTAGTCATATGCCTATCACATTATTAACTTCTATTAAAGACTTATACGTGGAGTAACAAAAGGGACATTAACACTTGACCAGAAATGCAGGTGTTGATTGTCACGATTTCATGTATAGGGATTAAAGTGAGATTTAATCAGAAGCGCAGGCGGTTGACTGCTACGATTTCATGTTTAGGGACCAAAATGAGATTTAGTGCAAAGTGCAAGAGTGCGAAGTGTGACTACCCTGTCATATATAATATTTTATATTTAATTAATCAAGGTGATTTGGATTTTAATTAATTATTATTTTAATTTAATTGCAGAATTGATGAACAATATTGGTGTTGATTCATGTATAATTTTATAAAAGAGCTATTTTGGAATTAGAAATCAAAAGCTTAAGTGGCTCAAGTATTTTGGAATTAGAAATCAAAAGCTTAAGTGGCTCAAGAAGGTGAAATTAACGAATTGAAATATTTTAATTTCGAGTATCGGACCATATAGAAGTTTAATTAAATAGTTGATTCAGTTTATTAAAATTGAGATTTTATTAATTGAGTCCGAATTGGAGTTGATCAAGTTATAAAGATTGGGAATTGTGATTATTATGAATTAAATTGAATTATGAGGTGTCCAATTTGAATATGTAATTTATTGACGGGAATTTGGGTCTGGTCATAAATTGAAGGCCTAAATGATTTGAAAAACCAAAATTGATGATGTCAATAAGCTTAATTTGATATTTGGAGCATTTTGAAAATTTGATTAAAAATCTGATTCGGATTAATAAATTTAAATATAGTTAATTAGGCTCTAATGGAAGTCAATTAGACTAATTAAATTACGTGGGATTTGAGATTAGTTATAATTAATTAATTTTGTGTTAATCAAGATTTATTAAGATTAAGTGATGCTTAATTAAATTAATCCTAGACATAAATTAAATTATGGAACAAACTAGAATTGTGGGTGTAGCTGTGCTAAGAATTCTGTGGATGTACTGAGCAATTTTGTAGGTGTATTGACTGTGTATGCACGTGTCCTTGTATGGGTCAAGATATGAAGGTATGTATATGTGTGTAATATTTTGAGGGTGGGCCTCAACTTCTTTGCTGGAAGAAAAGGAGAAAAAGGAAAGAAAATAGAGAAAACCATGAGAGAGAGAGAGAGAGAGAGAGAGAGAGAGATGAAGCATATACCATTTTTGCTGGGAGGAGTTTGATGGAAAGCACAAGGAAAAAGCTAAGGAAAGAAAAAGAAGACGAAATGGAAAAGTGAAGAACTCAACCAAATTCTATCTTGAAGACTAATAGGTAAGAAATTTCATCCTCTTTCTAGAATTGTTTAAATAATCTAGACAAAAATTGATTCAAGATGGATTTTGAGAGGATTAAAAATAAAGATTTGAAGATCAATTATATTAATTGATAGAAATTGGGTTTTGCATGTAAAATCAAGTTAGGTTAAAGAATATGAGTTATGATTCCTTAAATTTGTTAAGCTTGAGTTTAATTTTGAAAATCATTTTTGAATTGTGCTATGAAAATTACATGCAACAATGATGTATTGAAGATTTGATCCATGCAATGGAGTTAGGTTCAAATTTATGGAAATTAACTTAGAAATTAACAACTTTGGGTTTGAATTTAGTTGTTTTAGCATGAAATTGAGTTTCAATTGTACATGCATTATGAATTTTTCAAGAGTTTTGAAAGCTTAATTCATGTTTTAAAATTTGTGGGTTTGAAATTAGGTTTGATATGGAGGAAAATAAATTAAATCTAAATTTGGACAAATTTGGAAATAAATTATAATTTATATTTGAGAATCAAAATTGGTTTGATTTTGATATAAATTTCTCACATGTAAATATTTTTGAAAGGGTTTTATAACTTTGATTTATGTTGTATAAAACAAAGAAAGAAGAATGTTGAAATTATTATATTCATGAAATTATTGGTTTTAATCTTAATGATCAAAGAGATTTTTGTATTAAAAATTAGAAAATTAGTCATGGATTCATCTTTATTAATAAAATTACATATTTAAATTGGTTCATGCAAGAGTTTGAGTTTTGAAAATGTGTTTGGAAACTATTTTGTTGGTTTTGAAAGCATAGAAAATTTGCGGGCCGCTCGAGCGGTAAAGTCGCCGCTCGAGCGGTAAAGTCACCGCTCGAGTGACCAAAGATGCGCTCGAGCTAAGACCCTATTTTCAGCAATTTTTGACTAACTCTTTTAAATGCATAATTACATCCTCATGACATTCTAAGTATTCTTAGGCACCAATCGGACTCATATAGTCATAGAATAAGGTAGAAACACATAAAGAGAGTTGAATTAAAATAAAATGAATATTGAATGGTGCTTCTATTGTATCTTTGTTGTGTGATTTGTATAAGTGGACGTCTGAGGCCTTATATCGACTTAACTCACTGTGAGTAGTAACTTTATAAAGATGTATTCAAATTATATTTATTTTTGAAATGATTACTGTTTTCGAAATCATTATGTGATTGATTGAATGGTTTATTGAAAAGTTATTTTGTAATGATGAATGAAGTTCACTTTCGAAATGTATTCGTGGCATCCTTTAGTGAGGCCCTTGCTTGGGGGAAATAATACCACGGCGATTGATTATAGGCCTTTCCCTAGGGAAAACAATACCAAGGCTATTGGATTTAATGAAACAAAGAGATCTCTAGTGTTATTCCCATCATGGTCCATTGGATTTTTGATTGACCCATTATGGCCCATTGGATTATTGATTGACCCATTGTGGTCCATTGGATTATTAATTGACCCATGGTGGTCTATTGGATTGACCCATCATGATCCATTGGATTACTGATTGACCCATTGTGGTCCATTGGATTATTGATTGACCTATCGTGGTCCATTGGATTATTGATTAACCCATTGTGGTCCATTGGATTGACCCATCGTAGTCCATTGGAGTATTGATTGACTTATTGTAGTCCATTGGATTATTGATTGACCCATCGTGGTCCATTGGATTATTGACTGATCCATTGTGGTCCATTGGATTATTGATTAACCCATCGTGATCCATTGGATTATTGATTGACCCATCGTGGTCCATTAGATTATTGATTGACCCATTGTAGTCCATTGGATTAACCTATCGTGGTCCATAGGATTATTGATTGACCCATCGTGGTCCATTGTTATTGAAATATTGTTACTCTATTGGATGTACCACGTAAATTGTCATTGAATGAGTATTGCTATTGGGATAACATGGATAATTGAGAATTGAATTGAAATCGGAATTGTATTGAAAAATGCTATCGAACAGTGGTCTTTAAATTGCAAGGTATTAATATGATGGCTAATCGAATTGATTTTCCTATTGAAATGGATTGTTTCGGGAAATGAAATATATGTTTTGATAAGGGATTTGATATGGAAAATGTTTTGTTATAAATTTGATATAATATGGCAAATGCCTTATTTTGAAAATAATTTAAGATTCGTTTTGAAATTGTAAGACAGTTTTTTGTATTATCATCGAACTTCATTCATTTAACTTCTTTATTCTATTACTACTTGCTGTGCTTTAGCTCACTATTTATATGTATATGTAGGTGAGCAAACTAAGCAAGAAGGATAGAGAAAGCCTTGGAGTCTACCCGTGTTAGCCTTTTGAAGAGCTTCCGGAATGGAGCAACTTAGGCTCGAGTAGAACCAAGAAAATCAGCACCTTAGCTTTGTCAGAGTTTTGTATTTTGTTGAGTCTTAAATGTATGTGTGTGAGATATATATAAGATATGTATATGTTTATAAATTAATATTGTATCATGTAGGTACAAGCTCAATGGACATTTTTATTTTTGCTTTGCTTCCGCTTTAAGCTCCGATATGATTATAAATATTTTGAAATTTTGTCTTTGAGGCCGAAGGTAATCTAGGATTACTAGCCGGTTACGACGCTAAACCCATAGGGGCGGGTTTGGGTCGTGACAGAGTGGTATCAGAGCATGAGTTAATATCCTACACACATGTCCATTGAGCATTAAAATGTCTAGAACGTTTTTAAGTTTCATGCATATAGCAAGTCAGTAAGAAGTTGTGCATTCAGAAATATGTGTATATGTTTGTGTAATACGTTTAAGTATTGAAACTAAGAATTAAGAGTTATTGTGGACTTTTGATAATTATAAGGAAATTGGGATGTGTTTAATCAGTTTAGCAATGAGGTTAAAAGTTAAGAGTTATTGTGAAACTTCTAATGTTGTAAGGATATCGAAATTTTTGACTAAAGCATTAGTGAATACAAGTATGTTGATTTGTGAAAACATGGTATTATGAGGAATGAGAATCTTTAATGGAAGTCATGAAAGCTACAAGGGTTAAATGTCAAATTAGACTTTGAGAATATTTGGGAAATTGAGGAATTTGATGATCAATGAGGTATGTGGAACTGTGACAATTGGGAATAAGAAAATTATTTGGTATGTAAGATGGTATGTTTTGGTGGGGGACTTATTGTGTAAAATGTTAAAAAGTAGAGTCTCATACCTTTGTTGAATGACTTTAAAAGCTCGAAATCATCCTCCCTCTCTTTCTAGGTTCTTTCTCTCTCTAGATTTGTGCTTTGTATGCGTTTTCCAATGCCCCACGCAAACTTTATTCGCAAATCCCCTTTGATCCTCCACACTTTGAACTGATTAGATTTCGTTATTGTTGATTTCCTCGAGTTTTCAACACTTTGGGCTTGTTTCCCTTGAGTTTCTCTCGAGTTTTGTGAACTTTCGTTTTGACTTTTTTCTCTCATTTTCTCTCTCCTAGGGTTGACTTTTTTCAAGTTTTCCCTCATTTTCACATTTTCTTCACTTTTTCACCAGTCTTTACCCACTTTTTAGATTGCAGACGATATTCCTCATGATGATGCCCCCCTTGAGGCTACACCTGCACTTTCACTCCTACTGAGGTCGAGCAGCCAGCAATTACTGAGGCCAGCGGGACAGCAGATATATAGATGCCGATTTCGAGACAGAGTTTGCTCCAAGGCTCGAGCCTGGGCCACTACCATTGCGGGTGCAGCCCTTTGATCCGGTCACTTATCACCCTCGCACACACATAATGGTGCCTCGGGGTTTGACGCGCTTTGATGATTTTACTAATAGTGCGCCGGAGGATATCTTGCTGAGAGAACTGGACTCCCACCTTTCTTACAGTGCTACCAAGGTACAAACTTTATTTTCATGCTTTCTTGCCTTTCATTTGACTGTATTTCTTGCGCTGCCTTTCATCTGACTACTCTTTTATTACTGTCTTTCATCTGATTCACTCTCTCTTTGCTACAGGGGGACTCCTGTTCTTGCAGGGGTTACAGGGCAGTGATAGCGAGCGATTGGTATCATGAGCTCTCACCCAAGGTCCGTGACCCTGTTGATGAGGCTGACTTTGGCTTATTCTGCACCGAGCTCTCGTGACATATGGCTAGCCGAGCCCTCCTTGGAGCATTGGTGGAGAGATGGTGGGACACCACTAACTCCGTCCACTTCTCTTCCGCCGAGGAGATAATGATGACCCCTTACGACTTCGCGATGATCACAGGCCTCAGAGTAGGAGGGAATCCAATTCCTTTTGACATGGAAATGGACGAGTGGGAGGCAGCTTGGATCTACCTGCTTGGAGTACGTTCACCTCTATACAGGCTAACTATGGTGAGATACAGTTGGTTCTCTTAGCACTTCTGCGGGAGTCATCCTGAGACACAGGAGAAACTAGAGAAGTACATCCGGGGCTTCTTGATGTACCTCTTCGGTACCACCTTGTTCATGAACAGGTGGAACACCGTCGGTTTGTATTTACTGAGCGCCCTTGTGACTTTGTCTCGAGTTCGATTTTACGACTGGGGTGGAGTCGGCCTCGTTACGCTTTACGGCTATATGAGCTCCATTTCCCGCATGAAGGGAGAATGAGTCGGAGGCTACTGGAGGGCTTGAGAGATATGTACTGCACCTTCAATTTTGTTACTATGCTTTCTTCTCTGCATTTTCTGTTCAATATCTGTACATACATCGCGTTTTCTACTTTGCACATTTTATCTATCTGTTCATGCATTGCATTGTGTTTTTTGCTTTATACTTTATGTCTATTTGTTCATGCATTGTTGATAACACTACTGACCCTTTCTTGCAGTTGTGGGTGTATGCTTATTTCCTAACTTTTGCTCTCGAGCCAGTGGATGAGATTCCTTCAGTCGTGTCTTACTTGCGGCGATATGACAGCTGGCACCAGCACCGGAGCCACGACGATATGACATTCGCCTTTTACTGCCGATACTTTGATACAATGGTTGCCAACGAGGTAATCCAAAACTTACATTCATTTCTGCTTATATTCTGATTCATACTCTGATAACAGACAACAACTAACAATATGTACATTCTCTATTTGCAGATCACATGGCAGCCCTGAGCGACGATGCCAGCTAGAGTGAGGGACCAGTATGCCGGAACCTGGGCCACATCTCGATACCGGATCTTACTAGAGGGCTCACTCTGCCTGGCCTAGTTCTTGGGTGAGCATTTTATATGCCAGACTCTGGGCTCACCTGTCTTAGTCGTTCCTATGCCACCCTTAGCGTCCATAAGGATAACTGATAACCACGCAGCTAAGCCTATTATCCAGTATATGGTGGGGCAGCATGCCGACTATTTCAGAGCGGGGGGTGATTATGCGACTTTCATCAAGACTCATCTTATGCCGCCTTTGAGTGGAGTTTGCGCGAGCAAGGTAGCAGGTGCTCCTTTGGCAGGTGAGGCTGCTTAGGAGCTCGAGGCCAATACTAGAGGGGCCCTTCCTGTTGTGCAGGTTACCGATTGGCTAGCGATTCCTACCGCGCTTACATACTGGTGGCTGACTAGGACAACCTATCAGATTTCGATTGTGCCAGCAGAGGCAGGGCACGAGTGTGTCAGAGCTCGAGGCACACCTCAGGTATGGACCACACTTTACAGCTTGCAACATGCGCTTTCCTTTTCAAATATTGATTGTACCAGATACTGATCAGTCAAATGCACTTGCAGGCACCCACAGAGTACACAGAGGGCCTCCTTGAGCTGGTTGCTTCTCTTATTGACATGATGTAGAGGAGAGAGGCACTGTTTGGTATCCACAGTATTCAGGTATTTTCTTCTATTTCGGTATGCATTTCACTGATGACCCTGTTATATACCATACTATCATATTTCCACTGAGATGCTTTCTGACACCACCTCCAACTACACTGACACATTATACTCAGGTTGGATCTGGTTTCTACATGACACTCATTCTGCATACGATACTCAATCTGGATACTGCATTCATTCCACATACTACATTCTGCAATGACAATATATACATTGTATCTGACATGTCGACACTTGTTTTCAGATCCCATCTATACTGAGGGCACCAGCAACAATGGCAGCACCAGTAGCACATCTCCCAGCAGTAGGGAGGAGAGGTAGATAGGCCTGAGCACGTGGCCGAGATGAGTGCTAAGGTCGAAGCAGAGACAGGGGTGCTCGAGGTCGGAGCAGCTTCTTAGAGCTAGTTTTGAGTGATGATGATACCGGGACTAGTGACTCCGAGGAGGCTGTCAGCCAATATTCTAAGTCTGAGAGCGGGAGCGATGGTGTTGGCTCGGGATTAGAGAGCAGAGACGATGCTGAGGCTAGCTCTAAGGTGGGGAGCAAAGATGATGATACTGGTTCTGGCTCGGAGTCCGGTTCTAATAGTGGTGCTGACGGAGACAGTGCCCTTGAGTCCCCTCTGAAGAAGGGGACGGAGAGGGCGTTTCGAGGTTGAGATGACTAGCACTGATCTTTTTACTTTTTGCTTTGTTTCTTTTATTTTTGGTAGTTTAACACATGTATAGCTTTAGCTAGGCTTTACTTTCGCTTTTGAAAACTTGTGCTTTCTTTTGTAAAAACTACGATCGGGGGAAAACCCCGCAGTTTTATGAAAAGAGCTATGGTTTATGCATCACGAACACCACACTGGCAAAATGAAAATGGAGTTGAATTTGAAACCAAAAATGCGTGCATTGGAACGATGTTTTGAATCGGATAATGAGCTGACCAACGACCAAAATACAAAATACAACTCAATAAATGGAAAACAAAATAAAAACAACTTAAACATAGCTATTTGCAAATGCTAAAATCAAAAAAGACTCAAAACAAGACTTCAAAACACAGAGACCAAGACAAAACCAAAATGTCAAACTACCAGGCCACAAAAGTGGATAGCCGACCACTAAAGTGGGCGGCAAGCCACAAAAAGTGGGCGGTCGGCCACTAAAAGTGGGAAGCCGGCCATTAAAAGTGGGCGGCCGGCCACTTGTGATGGAACCACCAGACGGTTGACATCTGTCCTCTACTCACAGCCCTATCTTCTACCAAAGGTCTTTCTTCATGATTTTTTCACCAGAACCTCATTTTTGCTGTTATTTATTCCATAAATTGAGGCATTTCTTGTCGAGAAGCTCACAGATTAGATAGCCACTTTAGACGACACAAAAAAGGTAAATTTCTAAGGTTTCGGCATAAATGCATTTTTTCCGTTGAGCCGTACTCCACTTTGTTTTCTATTCCTCCATGTCGCAACCCGATGTTGGGACCCGATTACGCATGTATTTCACTTCAAAACACAGGAGATATACTCGACTCTTGAAGAATTTCATGCATTGATAGAATCCCAGCGCAGTAAGGAAATCATGCTTCAGCCCCTTTTTGGCCATGTCCAGGCTTTAGGACGAATGTGTGGACTCACTTTGCTCGAAGTTCGATCTTTGGCCCACGACAGAGAGCTAGATATACCTAGCTTGATTCATCGGTTTTCTGACATCAGTGATCGAGGTGACTCTCTCTGGTGAGGCTTTTGACAACATGCCCTCTGCTTATGCATGCTTTCATATTTTCTTCTTGCCCCTAGTTGCGGCAGAGCCAACATCAAGTTGATTGAAGTAGCCTAATGCCTAAAAGAAGGTAAGAGTTGCATAATGCCTGAGAGAAGGTAAGAGTTGCATTGGTTTGGTACTGGCCGAAACTCTGATGGGTTTAAACGCTCTTTCATTGGCGAGGGACCACCAGGTTTGCGGGGAGTCCACTACTGCTTCAGGTATTGTTTCCCCTCTTTCTTATTTTTATTCTCACATCGCTCGGCACTCATGCTCTATTTTTCTTTAAAGCCCTTTCTTTACTTTTCTCTCCAATCACATCTCTCTATTATTTAATCTCTCTTATTTTTCATGCCACCCCAGGTATGGCTCGTGGATAAGCTGAAAGTGGTGAACCTTTGTCCCAAGTATTCAGCTCGAGCGTACTTCTTCCATCAGTGACTAATGGACTTTCCCAATGAGGGATGGTGGTGCAACTGGATGTATAGCAGATCTGCAGCTGACATTGCTTGGCGTTGTCCTTGGCTTAATTTGGCTGAGATGAGTTACAACTTGTCTCGCCAGCCGGGTATTCAGTTTATTGGCCTCACACACTGTGTGTTCTACTTTCCCTTTCAGTTCAGATGCCAGTTTGGGCACGATTAGACTTGTCTAGATGAGGGGGTGGAAACCCGGCTCCATTCCCAATACATGCTTCGAACCTAGCTTGGTACCTTGCTGCTTGGAGGACGAGAGTGCTCCTGGCCCTTGACCCTAGTTTCAGTTATACCCTTTCCGGCAAGTGCTTGACTTGGCTCGAGGATGAGGCACAAGTTGGACCAACTTTAGTTGCGAAGGCATCCACGAGCACGAGTAGAGGACGCGGGAACACTTAACTACCTATGCCCCTAGTTTATTGCTTTGACTTTTCTTTTCAAGTTTTATGATGTAAAAGCAACTTTGATTCAAATCAGAGAGTTGGAGAATATACTTGTACTAAAATCAATGGAAATAAAGTTGTAAGCACTAAAAATTGTTCTTTTGGTCCCAAAATGATCTAAGTCGTAAGTAAAATTCGAGAAAAATCAACTTTTATTAAAACTTTTCAAAACCATTTTTGAAAACGAATGATCACTGCCTGACACGCACCGAATCAGTCCTCAAGATGCATAACCCCAAATTAGAAGATCATAGCTGCTCCTAATTGCATACCCTCACTGCTCTGCATTTTACACCGGGTTTTCTTCCCAAAATGAAGATCACAACCAAACTCACAAATAATGAACAAAGATGACCTGATCAGACAAATGGACAAGACAGTTGAGTTAGAGATGGTTATGGCCGAACTTCAGGATGAAATTGCCTACGTATCCCAAAGATAGGAATCAGGCCTTACATAGTTCGGTTCTGGTTCATTCGAGTATTAACTCTCTCCTTTTGCGCTCTAACTTTTGCCAAAATCGCCCTTTAGGGTTTTCCAACCTTGCGAGCTCAGTTTTTCTTTGCTTCTAATTTTGCATGCTCTAACTTTTGCCTACGACCCTTTTGGATTTTCGGCCTAGCGAGCCTCTCAAGGGTAATATTTCTTCAACTTGTCCATGTTGATCGACTGTGAAAACTCCAGGCCATCTAAGTCCATGAGAATAATTGCCCCTCCCGACCAAATAGCTTTGATGATGTAAGGACTAGTCCAATTGGGTCTGAACTTGCCTCTAGGGTCGTAGATAGGAGCTCGGTTGTCTTTCAACACCATGTCTCCTTCCTTGAGATTTCAGGACTTAACTTTCTTGTTAAAAGCCCTAGGAATTCTACATTAGTAGCCTTGAACATGATACAATGACTTTAGCCTTCTCTCATCAAACAACATTAATTCCTCAAACCTGCTCTATTCCCAATCCGCCTCTGCTATCTGATATTCAACCATAATCCGCAGAGATTACATGTTAATAACAAAATAGATGCCCTATGGGCTTACAACCTTCCAAGTCAATACTTGGTTACACAAAAGAAGAGTTCTAACTCTTTTACATATAAAGCTCTTGGCTTGAATTACATGTAACACAAAAAGGCAACAACACGAAAAGAAGCCTTCAGCCCCTAAACCTCCCTAGTTATGTCCTTGGAGGTGGCGTATCACCTGTACCTGAAAATGGTGTCCCAAGAAGAGTGAGCCACAGCCCAGTAGAGATATGCTAAACAGTATATGAGAATTAACTAAAACGTTAGCATTTGATAAATGTTAAACACTTGTAAACCAACTTATACCATTTCCATAACCAATCAACATTTTCATCATATTCAGTCCACTTCCTATTATTTATCCAAATTAATCCATTGACATAGTCCAATATTATTCAGACATTTTAAAATGAGACTACAACTCATATAGTAATAACACTTCAATAACAAACATCATTCAACACTTCTATTCACATGCCATTTTACGGAACTACGTCTGAGGGAACCGGCACCCATAAATAAATAAGGTTTCGGGACTTGCACTCAGGACACTCCGGCCAACTTAGTTATCAATGGAGTCCATCCCCTATCTCCTCCCACACAATATACATATACAATGTATTAAACATGTTGGCATATAAAATGACCCAACAATTCACAGATTCAACATTTCAATCCAACCGTCATATTCAATGACATAATTCAATTGATTAGTTTCAATTTACCTAATCATCATGTAGTGTCTACAACAATCAAGACGATCCTCCACCGATAGCCCAAAATAATTATTTCTAAACAGATAATAAATTTATCAAACAGATAATTTATCAACTTTTCCATAGGTGGGTGATTATTCAATCCAACTACACCATCTAATCACAATCCTTCCCAATTACATAATTCCATAATGAATTCACTATTTATACAAAAGAGTTATTAAATTCCAAATTAGGGCTTTTTCCCCCAAATTCCACAACATTGACTCAAAGGTCCAAATTTCACCATCTCAACAATTATACATCGATAGCCCCATTTTTTAGACCCACATACACATATAGAGTTTAAAATTAAAAACCCTTCTTTTACAAATCAACACCCAAACCCTAACTTCACCCAAACTTTCCCAATTTCACCATTTATACAAAATGACTAAAATTTATGTTAAAGCTCATAACAATGAATAGATTATCCCTACCTCAAATGGAGAAGCTCAAAGGAGAAGAAGTGGAAAACTCAAGATGCTCCAAACCTACACTTTTTTAGATCAAAATGTAGCCCACGCGAAGCTTAAGTCTTAATACAAAGGGAGTAGGGTAGAAGAACCCTAGATCAAGAGTATTTGTAGAGAAAAATGGCACTTTAGAGAGAAAGGCAGCAGAATTAGGGTTTTGGATGAAAAAGGTGATGAAAAAGTGATAAACATCACACTACTGCCTACTAATATAATCGAGGCTCACTCTAGCGAAGGAGTGGTCGCTCGAGCGACCAGACACAAAAGAACCTCGCTTGAGCGCAAGAAACGTCGCTCAAGCGAATAATGCGAAGCTTCATGTCTGCAACCCAGACGCACGCTCGAGCGTAAGAGTTCTTGCTCGAGCAAAGGAACACAAAACATAGGGCTCGCTCACTCGAGCCAAGAAGCGTAGCTCGAGCGAAGAATACCAACCTTCAGGTCCAAAAGAGATGTAGATGCACGCTCGAGCGCAAGACTGCTCGCTTGAGCGAAGAGACACAACACACAAGGCTCGCTCGAGCGCAAGAAAGCTCACTTGAGCGGAAGCTGCATCTAAAAAAGAAACTTGAAGACCCACAATACTTGCTCGAGCGCACAAACCCTCACTCGAGCGAAAAAGCAAACACTAAAGGCTCGCTTGAGCTCAAAAAGCCTCGTTGGAGCGAAGAAGCCAAATCCTGGGTAGCAACCATTTGTTCTAACTCCCAACCAACCTGTTCCAAACTCACCCAACACATCCCAAAACTCAAAGACAAAGAATCAAAGGATGGAAACGAGATACAGACAACAACATACAACCACAGAACTCGAGTCCAGAATATAGTAAATGACAGGGGAAAACTGGGATCGCTATAGTTTGAAAGATGATGAAAGTTGTATTGGACAAATAATCTTGTTTTTTATATTGTAATGGAT